AGCCCAGCCTGCCACAAAATACCGTTTCCTGAATGCAACGTGTGTGTTTGTTTGGTTCGGCTGTTTTTATTTTATGCATTCAGAGTTAATTCTGTGTGAACAAACTCTACTGAATTACAGGAAACTACTGCTCTGTCATACACGTGTGACGTCTTATTAATAATTAGCTTTTGGACATTTTATGACCTCAACCGGACCTTCTGCTCCTTCAGATGGTTTTAAAAGTTCCATCCAACGACAACAAACCGAACCTTAAAACGAGTCTCTTATGTTTCTCTTTCCAAGGTCGAGAATAAGTTTTATCATTAGCTTAATCATTTTTATGTTTATGCCGTCTTTATAATAGAAACCGGCTCCTTCCGAACATCAACAAATCAATCTAACCACGAACACAATCAAGACTCAAAAGTCAGCGAAGGCGAGAAAATCCCATTAGGAAAACAATACAACAGAGAAATGAAGAAACCCTGGGTAGGCAGGATATTAGAAGCCATGACATTTGAAAAAAATTACAGCAGCGCGTACTCAGCGTGTAATAATCAGCAAGTTAGAAACTTTATTCATGAGCTATTAATTAAATATTTTAATTTGCACTCGTGCACAAGGAGAATAAAACAAAAACACATGCAGGCTATCTGATGGCCATGAAATTTGGTGGAAACATTAATGCTCTCAGGAGATAAATACATTTGATTTTAAAGACCTCTTTATCGGTTTAATGAACATTGTAGCCTCCAGGGGAAGCCAGGGAGACTCCAGGTCTTGAAAAATTACGGTTTGATTATTAGTGTGGTCGTTGGCGGTGAGGAGCTGCAGTTTCTCACACAGAAAAGTGTTCTCAGTCACAAAGAAGTGTTGGAAAAGGCTTTTAATTCCACTTCTTCGACGCACATTTCGTGCATCATCATGTTTAGATGCTCCCGCTTCCCCGCACGGAATCAAATAATCTAATGTCGTGTTTTTGGCCCGTCATTGTCTGAGCCAGAACTTTCATTTCCAGTGTTTTTCTCGCCGCTGTCTGCCAACACAAGACTATCAGCTCACACAGGTGGATGCTGTTTGGCTAATTAGTGTTCTCTTCTGGAAATTGTAGGTTTGTGCAAAGTGGGTTTCCTGGCCGACGCTGCAGTTCTCCTGCTTCTAAAAGGTAAAAGTTGGAGTTCAAATCACGGTTTAGCCGCAATACATGTGGGTCGGCGAAGATCATATTAATGCTACCCTTTACCGAGGGACCGGCCTCACATTTGGAATTGATTTACATTTTTCTCGGGGGGGCTGGCATGAGTAAATGTTGCTCGCTTGTCCAGTCCTCCTACAGCTTATGTACAAATTGATATGCACGAGACACAAACGCTGGTGTTTTAAGAATAGGGGCACATTTCTTTTAGCTTATCCCGATGTTAAAACCTAAGCTGGATGCTTAATTCCAGACGAGACTTAGAGTCAGATATAAAGTGCATTAACAAGAGAAAGAGCTGAGAGAGCTACTGACTGAAAAAAAGCAGACTTTGGTATTCCATCTGTTTTGGTATCTGTTCATTAGAAAGTGAACCACATAAAAGGAAATTACAAAGAACGGCACAACACTGTGATGTTTTGTTGGTTCTGAGAACTGCGGGTCAAGCAACAATGCCATTTTTCAATCTATTACTGATTGTGGTACCAGAAATTATTTAATTAAAGTAGTGAAACGGCTCAGAGAGGTTTTCACTTAAACAACTCCAAAATGAAACCTGATATAAAATATCCCCCTTTTTTTTTAAAGCTCAGTATTTTTTTAGGTTATTACCAAAAAATGTTTTTATTTCAGGCTTTCTGGTTCCATGTTTTCTTCAGCTGCACTGTGTTGTTCTTCCTCAATCATTAAATTATTTAGAAAACGTGACATCGATGAATCAGTATTGCTATTAACCATGTCAACAAACACAAGCTAGTAAGAGTTTATGTTCAGTTAAAGGTACTTTGTGGCAGGTTTGACTTGACAAGACAGATTTTTTTAGAGATAAAAATAACAATAAATTGTTAACCAACAAGTTTCAAGCAGCCTCAGATCATCCCTCCATCCAAGGAGATGATCATATTTACTCCATCCGGCTTCAGCAGGGCGTGCTGTGGAGGACCTGGTTTCAGAGGTTAAAGCACACATGCAGAGGTATTTGCAGCCCACCTTTGGAAATATCAGTTTCTTTGGTTGCCTGCTGCACAACAGAGCAAAATAATCCCAAACACGTAGCCCCGTATCTCCACTGGTGGCCACAACCTTTCTCAGCTCAGCTGCTTGCCGGCGTTTCCAGCTGCTTGTGTCGTTACTGGCCTCTGGTGGTGAGCGTCAGGCATCACAGCACGTTAACGAGGGTTTCCGTGTCAGCTAAACTAATTAATACTGCATGTTTCCTACAGTTTGAGGATCCTACCTTCAAGATTTCTAAACCCCAGGTCATACCATGTTACTGTGATGGAACTGAAGCCTGAGAACAAATTATTTAACATCAACGTTTTCCTCAAATCAGCTTTAGACTTTATTGTGTTGATATCTTTGATCTTGTTTGAGTTTGTATGGTCTGTTGTTAGCCCTGCCACAGACACTCAACCTGTTGAGGGTGTATCGCGCCTCGGGTACAGATAATGGATGGATGGATGGATGGATGGATGGATGGGGACGAGTCCCGTAAACCATCCTCCCTAAATATTGGTTAGTGAGTTGAACGTGTCAAGTTGCCACACTGCAGCTGACATCAAAGCAACCATTTGCTCCAGAAACATCCAATAGATGGGAGCGTTTGGACAAGATGATAAGACTGTCGGCCTTTTCCCAAAGAAAGAACATCACCCATCCACGTCTTCCAATCCAACAGGCTGCTTTATTCCTCAGTAAATGGATTTAGACAAACAATTTGTGCCATTTTCAGCTATTTTGTGAAACATTTTCTTTTTCGACTGAGCCTCATGCTTGAAAAACAGAAAAGCATTCACCCATGTTTGTGTAAGACGTGACCATGATGCCCTACAAAAAGCCCCCGCTGATGTTCTTGCAAAACGAGACATTATAGTGTCAAAAATAACTTGAAGGTCAGCGACATTTAATCCATTGCATCTCATTTTTAGGGCATCAGACACAAAGCAGGCCTGGGGTTTGGAGTGTAATTGGCTCTGACAAACAAATATAATGCCATCCACTCCTTGAATGGTTTTCATGTGCCAGATGTGTCTGCATGTTTTTTATTCACATTTGGTATTTAGTCATGGCGTGGACTGTGAGCTTTCATTCCCTCTGTGAGACTGTAAATAAGCCCAGCATCCTCTGGGAGTGACTACATAAAACACTCTGTGGTTAGCAGACCTCGGTGGCTGCCAGAGGCATAGCTAAACCACGCACGCTTCACTTCTATCAAGTAAAAGCAATATCCTACATATCTCTGTTTATCTAACAGAAGACCACACCATCAAAAGACAATCCTGCTCTGGAAAAAAAAAAAAAAAAAAGTATGAAAAGCACATTTCTGAAAGACTTCAATGACAAAAAAACATAAAGGGAAAAAAGGCAAAGATGGGGGATTTTCTGTCTTTACATTGTTTAGTCCCTGAAGGAAATGATGCTATTTAACCATCCAGGCAGATCAGACCAGTTTAATCTGATCCACATCACAGATAGACGTGTTTTATTTTACTATGATTATTTACTGTATGTTTCACAGGTTATCTGCATCGGGAAAAATGCTTCGGCAGGTTTTTAAAAAAAAAGCAGATTTCCTTTTGTCCCCTTATTCGTCCTCCAGTTTAGAGTAATTTCACATTTCTCATGCTCTCTCAGACTTGACTTGGCACGTGTGTTTAGAGCGGTTGAATTCACTTTTAAATATGCCTTTTCTCTAGAGGTCCCAGCCCCTTGTGATGTGACCCGCATGACTAATTCCATTTAAAGGGGAATAACATGCATTAGGGCTCTCACTTTTCTGCCTTCCATTTGCATAATTTTGTTTGGCAACTTGGAAAAGGGCCATTAACAGCACTAAGACACACACTGTAAAGGGTAGGGAGGCAGACGGATCAATACTTTATTTCAACATCTTTAGCAGCATCGGGGTCCAGATCAGGATGCATTCACTAATTCAAATTCTTGCAGGACTCTTGTGATGCTACCATTAGTCCCTGATAAGGAAACACCGTTGTACTGCCTCTCTTAATCTCTGACAGACACATTCGCTCGATCGATAGTCTTTTACTTTTTTGTTGCAAAGACAAGATTGATTGCCAGGAGTTGCCTTGTGCTCAATTCGGCTTCTCGCAGCCCACATTATTGTTTCAATTAAGCGTTCTCCGGAGACCTTTTGCGGGGTGGCATTAAAATGCGGTGACCTCCCGCGATTCACATCAAACACCAGATGTTGGGCAGCACAACCTCTGACACCAACTTATTCAGGTCAAGAAGTAAAAGCACCATCCGAACAAGTGGATTAAGCGGGAGGGGGTCTGTGTGCGGGAGGCATGGGGATGACCAGGGGAAGTTGCGACTCGCGCCAGTGAGGAGGAAATAATCACAATGTTACCTACTCATGAATTATTAAGTGCCCTGTTCCTATTTTAGCCCGACTCAAAATGCTGCATTTTCATCGGTGGGTCTGAGGCAGCGTGCAAGGGTGTTTTTTTTTTTTTTTTCTTCCTTTTCTTCTTTTTTCTTTTTTTTGACAGCTGTATTACTGCTGATAAGCGAGACTGTGTGAGCTGATCAAGTAGTGAGACAAGCGTTCAGAGCAGTAGCAGCACAGCAGCAGCAGCGCTGTAGTCACTAGGTGCCGTGGCAGCAGAAGCAGCAGCAGCACTATCAGTCACAGCACAGGCAGCAGCGACAGCAGCAGCAACAAACTCTCTCCTGTCTTTTTCTCTTCTTTCTGGAGTTGTTTCCCGCTCAGAGGACAAAAGCCAAGGAAGTAGGAGGGAAGTGATCCAGGGCTGATAGCTGCCATCAAAAACAAAACCAAAACGCAGACCTGGCTGCCCCCATGCCTATCGAATTTGTTTGCAAAATCAAATTTGCAGAGGAGGATGAGAAGCAGAAAAGCAAGCAGGATGGGGACAAGGAGAGCCTGATCGAGGAGAGCTGCACACCTCCGGCCAAGGACTTGGCCGGATTTGCTAACTCCTGCTCCCTCCATGGGATTAACCACATCTTTGTCTCTGGTCGCCTGGGCATCCGGCAGACTCTCTGGGCTCTCGCCTTTTTGACTTCACTGGCGCTGTTTCTGTACCAAGCGGCTAAGTGTGCCATCTCTTACCTGGAGCACCCTCATGTCACAGCTCTGAATGAGGAGGCGACCCCGGAGATGGTTTTCCCTGCTGTGACCATCTGCAACATTAACCGCTTTCGTTTCTCCGCACTCACCGACGCTGACATCTACCACCTGGCTAACTTGACAGGTCTGCCCCCCAAAAACAGGGATGGGCACAAACCTACTGATTTAATGTATCCTGCTCCTGACATGCAGGACATCTTCAACAGGACAGGACATCAGTTAGATGAGATGCTCATGAGCTGCAATTTCAGTGGACAGAACTGCTCAGTCGAGGACTTCTCTGTGGTGAGTGTCAAACTTTTTCAAAGTTCTGCTTTTGCCTGACTTACGATATGACGTCACCCGACTGTGATTTATCGGCTTCATCAAAACTTTTTTTTCCCCTAAAACAAGTTTTGTGAAAATACATTTTTCACGTCTGAAACCTTCTGAGGAATCATAAATGTGTAACTTCACAAGGTGCCTCTTGTTCATACAAAACTACCGATGAGCGTGAAGGCAAAGTGAGCACTTTAAGGCAGGAGGAATTGAAATTCTCTTTGTGTTTGTACTCATCTCCAGGGGCCATTTGGTTCCCACGATGCATTTCTGCATGCAAGATTCATGGCTTCGGCTCAGTCATTGAGCTGTATCTCTTCTCACTAAGTTCTGAGCAGCAACAGTGTTTCTCTTCAGTCGTGCCTGTACCAGAATCTATTATGTCAAAGAACAAAGGCTGCTCCCGAAGAAGAAAAACAGAGAGCTGTCGTATGTGGTAGTGTACTTTTCCAAGGCAAACTGTGCTTTAATGCTGCCTCCAACCCCAGTAGCTGAGAGTGCATGGCAACAAAATTGTCATCGAAAATAGCCGTGTCTCTTCTTCCCCTCTTTTCCATCTCTCGCTGTCGCTCCCACTCTCTCTTTCTGACATTGCAGAGCAGCTGCCTCTCTCTCCCTCTCTCTCCCTTCGTCTGAGCTCTTGTACCTTTCAGGAGGGAAGGAGTAATGCTTCTTCAACGTTGTATTTCAATCTTGCTGCTGTTAAGATTAAATATTTAAAGACAGACATACATGATTTTTGCATTAGCCAGATTGACTAAAAGGAACGAAACAATTTCCATGAGAGGCAAAGTGTGTGCGAGAGAGAGAGAGAGAGAGAGAAGGAGGGAGAAGGAGGGATCAGGTGAAAGGAGGAGAGTTTGTGCCTGTGTTCTGTGCACTATTTATTAAAGGCACTGTCCTTGCAGGAGATGGATTTCCCCATCTCTCCTGCAGGAATAGGAATATGCAATTGCTTTAGTGATGATAAAGTGCGGGTGTCAAGTCTTAATAGGGTGTGTTGAACATTGATATGCTCACCTTCCTGAGACCTAAAGATTCTGTCTTATCACAGAGATGGGACTACATTACATCTGATGTGCCAAATTACACCAAAGAAATAATGACGTTTCCACTGCTGCTCATTTGATTTCCTCCAACAGAGATATTTATTTTTCCTTTTGTTGTCAAGGCAACCCCTCACATGTAGACATTAGGATTACCTGTGACAGAAGAATGGATTCCCCCCCCCGCCACAAAAAAAAAAGGAAATAATCTCTCAGTTGTTCTGTGGGGCAAAAGAAATTGTCCTCAGGGAGGCGAAAAGTTTGATAAAATTCAGTCTGAAGCAGCAACACGACTCCAAAAGTTTGTAATGTGCTTCTAGCCGGTTTGACGGCGATATCCTCTGACACTTTGACACTCACTCCTCCCTGAGTACATTAATTAGCAGACAATTCTGACATCCAGGAAATGTCTGTCCCGTGTCAGTCGATGAAACGTCCTGTAGCTTTCTTTGGACACTGGGCGACTTCATCACAGATTAAGATCCTGTTGAAAGTTCCCTAAGCTGCTGTTTCCTCTCTGTCAGCTATGTGATCTGCATTTTCGGGGGCTGTCAGTTAGATTTGTTACAGGCTGCTTGCTGCCTCTACGCATGACAAATCACTTACTCTGAGTCCTGGTGGGGAGCACGACTGGGAACGCAAAGGGAGGAAGAGACTGGGAGTTATGGGAGCAGGTTCTGAGAGCACAACGTGGAAGTAACGGAGCCTAAATGAATCTAAATCAAACGCGTTCACTCCTGTGTTTGTGTGTGTTTTGTAAGTACAAATCGCACGCCATTTGTTACACGCAGGAGCCATTATTACAGGTGATGCACTATTAATCACATGCAAGCATGTACAAACCCACATGCACAGGAGTCCCGTACAAATCGGTCATTATTCTTCCTCTCTTGGGGCCCTCCTTCACGATCGGCTCCTCGTAATGCATTTTCTTTCGATTGATCATTCGGGGAGCTGCAGATGTTTTATTTTGGTAATAGCCTCATGGATGTGGAGCTCTTGGGAAAATTGCATGATGAAATATAATTGCGATGTCTTCTGACATTTTAGCTTCTCTGTAAACAGATCGGCCTCGTTGCAATGAATCTTCGAATTTTATTTCACTCACAATCTTCATGGATGTATTTTAATTCCTGTAAACATCTTAATTTAATTAATCATTGAATAATAAATGTAGTGTCCAAAATGCTGTAAAACACTCAAATCTAAAAATATAGATATGTATTCTGTCTCCCTTTCTTTTATTTTTTTGTTATTAGCTTATTCCAGAAAATCCTGAGTTGCCCTCTGTACATATTCGCTGTTTGAAAGAGTTAAATAAATATAGGTCTCAGGGCCAGAACGAAATTGTCTGGCTGTTCTAATTTATGGCAGGAAAATACATAATCACGTAGCAGAGGAATTTGTTTTCCTCTTTCCAGCGTCGTGGACCGGCATGATTATTTGACGTAGGTAATAAGGCCATTCTTTATAATTAAAGATTACATTATTGACTTGGATTAATCACAGAAGATAAAGCTGATTCAACAAGCCATGAATAAATAGATTAATATTTTTCTTCCCGTCTAACTCTGAATAATTGTTCATCTATTGTGTGGTGCTGTCGCAGAGATGAGCAGCGAGCCCTTTGGCTTTTTTTAAACAGAGCTCTGAATTGGTTTGCTCTGACTCTCAGCTGTGTTTGCTGCTGCATTATCAGATTTTGCTCTCAGCAAGGACAGATCCCTTCTGCATATATTCATGGAGATAACTAAACAGCTATAGGGTGGCATGCGAGGTGATCTATAAAAACCTGGGTTAACGGGGACAACACTGAAGAGCTCTCCGCCTGCAATTTGTCATTTCACTGACTGAAGCCTCTATTGTGTATTTTATAGATAATTGAATGTTTAATGGTGTAAGCCACAGATGACGTTCAGCCCCGTCCCCCTTCCTATCATTCATAGTGGAATGAATCCTGAAACCACATTAATGTAAATCAATAGTGTGCAGAAATGGCACAAAGGAGACTTTATTGTGAGTTGATCTCAAAGTGTGTGCCGGCCTTGTGAGGGTCGTGAGAAGGAAAAAAAAAAAAAAGCCAAGGTGGACCGTGATTACGGCGTAAATAAGAAAAGCAAAATTAAGTCATGAACCAGCAAAGGTGCAGCTCCACCACGTAGAGATGAGTCACTGAGACGGCTACCAGAGCACTCTGACTTTTTATTTTTTCAGTTCTGAAGCATGTTTTCCATTTTGAAGACGTGCACAAACCTTTTTTTTTTTTTCACCTTTCGTGCACAGCGTAGCATCGCTTGTCACTCTGTTACCTCGGCCTGGTGTGGCGCGTAAGATTTTTTTTTAGCCGATGCATCAGGAGAAAGACACAAGTGTGACTTTTCCGTGCTGCCACAAGAAATGCATCCCCTGGCTGTGGCATGGTCTGGGAGTCCTGCTGCAGCTCAGACTTTCATTCTCAGTTATATATATGTGTGTGTGTGTGTGTGAAAATGTGCTCGGTACATGTGCAGATGACTGTGAGAGGGACATCCTCTTCCCTTGTGGGACCAAAAGTCTGCCCACCCCCTAACAACACACCCACCCACCCACCCACACATGCATCTCCCCCGGTCACCCGCCTTCCCCCTGGTGGAGAGCGAGGAGTGTGGGAGCGTGAAAGTGACTGGCTATCTGGACTGGCTTCGTCTCCAACAGCCTGTCAATTAGCCATCTACAGTTCCAGTGCTGTGGGAGTCCCTGCAGCTTAACATGCTGTCTGATATGATCCACACACCCAACCCTGGAGGCAAGTGCTGAGCATTATTATGCCCTCCCACAGCCCTTAAACAAACAAATACATGCAGTCTTTTCTTGTCTCGTTCTCCTGCTAAAACGCAAAAGAAAAAAAAAAACAAAACAGAAACCCGAACGCTGCTCTCGTATCTCTGGAAGCTAAAGGGAGGACTGCTGCTTCTGCAACCCACTTCACTTCCCCTGCACTCCTTCCCCACCTTCCTCCTCCCGCTCCTCCTCCTCCTCCTCCTCCTCCAGTGTATCAGAGGAAGATGAATTACATTGCAATTGGTCGGCTGCTCCTCCTGATATGCATCACCACTGTCTAATCAGATGAAACCCACCTGTGACCAGCCACTGGATAACACCAATATGCAAACAGTTTATATTGGGGAGATTTACCTTTTCTATCACTCCCCGAGCCGGCTTTAAAACCTCTCACTGTGCCTTGGTTTGGAGCGCCCGGGTTTGATGAGGAGAATCTGCGGCTCAGGGACGGCTTTTAACTCAACGATAAAGGCTTCCGATGTTGTGGTGCTGCTACTGTGGTACCCCCCCTCTCTAACCCCTGGGAGTCTTTTACTCACACAGACATTTGTCTCTTTTTGACAACTCATACACCAAGCTGCTGGTAGTGTTAATGTGGCTGCACACACACACACACACACACACACACACGCATACAAACATGTGTGTTTAGAGTGTGTGTAGTGTAGATGGAATGCTTCCCCACACACACACACACACACACACACACACACACACACACACACAAGTCTCATCACAGATTGAGAGAGTTGGCTCGCAAGATTGATCATGACTCCTGACTGGGTGCCCCTCCCTCTCTGGAGGATCAATACATCCTTCAGTCAGATTGCTTCCCTGCCCTTCCTACTCCAAGCCTGGTGTGACTAATTATCTTGTGCCTGTGTTTTGGGCCCGGTCTCGGCTGCATTTGTTAATACTGCCAGAGTTGGTTGAAGAATTTGATCTTTGGAACAAGATGTCTGTTTGTTTTAGTGTATATCCAGCCAAAATCAATCCGCATACACTGTCTGTCTTTTTCCCTAAAGGGCGCTGAAATTATCGAGCAACGTGAGATGACTCACGGCTCGCGCGAGGATGTGGAGGAACGAAGGCTTTGGTCAG